TATAACCTATAACTCCTCTTTACAGGTGTTGTCTTAGGGCGGCAAGGAGGCATGATCCAGCAGTTGATTTTGCCATTCTTTCTGGGATTAGGAGGACCCATTTCTGATGGTTTGCAGCCTATGCCATGGATCCACATAGATGACATCGTGGGCCTCTACATCCATGCTATTGAATCAGAGAATGTAGAAGGACCAGTGAATGGTGTTGCACCACAAATCATCAATAACAAAGAGTTTGCACAGGCTTTTGGCAAAGCCCTGTGGAGGCCTGCCATAATTCCTCTGCCAAAGATTGCCGTCAACCTCATGTTCAGTGAGGACAGAGCCAAAATAATGACAGACGGGCAGAAGGTGGCACCAAAGAAAGCACTGGATACAGGATATGTATTTAAATATCCTGATATTGCATCAGCTGCAAAAGAATTCTCAAAATTGATTTATGCTGATGCAATGATATGATCTTTCCCACATAGCAGCATAGTTGAATGTCAAGAGGTTGGCTTAGGTATTCAATATTTAATCAAGCTATTTTGTTTCCTGTGCAAATATTCAGCAGTGTTTTAAAATGTTATGAATTTCTATGCTTAAGTGTAAATAATAAATCATTGTTTAATATGTGGTTTAAGTTACCATCTTGTAAAGTTGTGATTTTCCTTTTAAAATACTTATTATATAATCTTTAAAAAGGAAATACAACCAACAGGCAAATCAAAGTACCTACAGTTTACAAAGCAGACTTCAAAGTTTATCAGGAAAGTCATAGGGACAGAAATAAACAGTGCTGAAATATTATTTCAAAGGAAAAGATTACCGTGTAAACCAAAAGGTATTTGCATTTTCATTTTTACTTCATGATAACAATTTTCCTTCATATGAACAGAATGGACAAAAATTAAATGCTAAAATGCTTGTATGAGTTCTTAGTATCTAAAACTGTACAGAGCTTAATTTATACTGTTTAACAGACAAGCCAAAGGCAAAACTAACAAAGAAATAAGTTTATGAATGTATTCCATATATATATATATATATATATATATATATAATTTTATTATATATATAAATAATTAATATATTATATATATATATATATTATATATATATAATATATATATATATATATATATATATATATATATATATATATATCTCTCTCTCTCTCTCTCTTCTCTCTCTCTCTCTCTCTCTCTCTCTTCTCTCTCTCTCTCTCTCTCTCTCTCTCTCTCTCTCTCTCTCTCTCTCTCTCTCTCTCTATATATATATATATATATATATATATATATATATATATATATATATATATATATATATATAGAAGAACCATACAACTGCATAAAATGAGTGACATCGTACACACACCACATATTATTTATATTGTATAATGTAAGTAAGCCTGAAAAAGTTTGTTAATGCAAAAATCAGAATAACTGTAATATTATGAAAGGCGACTTCTGATTTTAAGTGAAAATACAAATAAAATAAAATAAAATGCTCTTACAAAATGTATTACTAATCCAAATATCATTCAGAAAATAATTTTAGGTCATATTTTTTCTTTTAAAATTATTCAAATAACAAACCTTTATATTCCTACTTAAGCAATCTTGGAATTTACACAGATTTAAAATTACATCTTATCTATTCTGTGGAAGGCACTGAAAAATACCATTATCCGTTGTATTTTCTGATTTTACTTATTTTATGCCTTTTTTGTGTAGATCATATGTTACGACATTAGTCCAAGAGAATGTTACTTTTTTCAATCAGACACTAACACTAAAACTAACACGAATGGAAAAGACTAAGGACATGTACACCATATTTCACTACCATTCGCACCATGTCTGTTTTTGATTAGAGGTTCCAGCCTCCCAGTTTTGGATCAGTTTTGGCCGCAGGTGTCATTAGAATAAATCACACTCGCTTGTCCCTTAAAACCTAAGCTTCACTCTCAACCAAACTGTTTAGAAACGCAGATTTAATTTTCATTCATAAAAGTTGAGGGTTTAGATTTTCATTCACACTCTTCCTCGTCAATCGGAGTCCCCTCCTCGTACATTGGATTAGTCACTCCTGCAGGGGCGTCTCCTCCCGCCGCGTGCTCAGGGCCGTTGGCGACGTTGTCCGCAGACGCCTTGCAGACGCTGAGGAAAATAGGCGTGTCCCGCTTGTAGTGCCGCATCATGAGGCCTCGCCGGCGGTACAGGAGGACGCCGGCGACGAGGAGGAGGAGGAGGAGGATGGCCATGACTGCCAGGGTCCAGAGGGCGGCGCTGGAGCTCATGGACTCCAGTGCCGAGGACTGCTGATCACCGTGAATATCTGGGGGAGGACATGGGTTTTGCAGCAGTGAGTGTTTGGCCGCGGATATTGTAGTCTTCCGGATTTCTCTATTTATGTGTTTCTGTTTAGTATTGGCATGTCCCTTATATATCTTTAACTGCGCTGATGTATATTCATACATACACACAAACATATGTATATATATATATATATATATATATATATATATATATATATATATATATATGTATATATGTGTGTGTGTGTGTGTGTGTGTGTTGTGTGTGTATGTGTGTGTGTGTGTGTGTGTGTGTGTGTGTGTGTGTGGTGTGTGTGTGTGTGTGTGTGTGTATTTTTGTGGCAAAATAATGCTTCTGTTTTATATTTACTAATTGCGGTAATACCATTGTGCCCTTTTATTGTTGAACTAAATTCTGTATACTAGCTTTCCCCACAAAGCTACTCTGACAGTGCATTTTGTATTAATAGACAACGTATTATTTTGACTCAATGTGTGTATCATACCGAAAATAAAGGTTTGCACGTCATTTGCGACAAATATAGAACAAAAAAGGTAAAAAAAAAACTAATAAAGAAGATAGAACAGAATAAAAAAGGATAGAATGTGATAAAATAGTGAATAAATGTAATTATTATATGAAAATATATAGATAAATAAAAAGCAAAAAATAAAGAAAAGACAGAATAGGATTTAATATATATATATATATATATATATATATATATATATATATTATATATATATGTATGTATGTATGTATGTATGTATGTATGTATGTATGTATGTATGTATGTATATAGTACGAAAACAAAATGCAAACAAGCTAAAAAAAATAAAGAATAACAAGTAAAACGAAATCGAAACGGGACCCTCTCCTGACCTGGGGATTCCGCAGGAACTGTGGAAAGGGGTGATGTTCCGCGCCGCCTCCTGCGCCCCACCACCCGCACGGTGTTCCTCTGGAGGGACGAGCGATTGAAGCACCGCAGGGCACTCAGGGCGTCGCTGTCCCACGTGTCGATCAGGTTCCGTCGAACTTGACCTCGCCGGTGACGCTGACCTGGGTTGAGGGGACGCGCGAGGGTGGTGTGTGAGGGGGTTATCGGTTTGTTTGTGTTTCTGTTTTTCTTTTCTGTTGACTCTGTCTATCTGCCTCTCTCTTTCTCTCTCTGTCTGTCTCTCTCGCTCTCTCTCTCTCTGTCAGTCTGTCTCTCTCTCTTCTCTCTCTCTCTCTCTCTCTCTCTCTCTCTCTCTCTGTGTCTGTCTATCCGTCTGCCTCTCTCTCTCTGTCTGTCCGTCTGTCTGTCTGTCTATCTGTCTCTGTTTCTCTCTCTCTCTTTCTCTCTCTCTTTTTCTTTCTTTTCTCTTTCTCTTTCTCTCTCTCTCTTCTCTCTCTCTGGCCGCACGCGCGCTTTCGTTTATCCATACGACAACAAGCATGCGATCGCACATACGGGTATTATCCATCATACACGAGAAAAAAAACTCACGTAAGATAAAAAAAAATCCCACCTCCAGCTTACCTTCAGCGCCTCCTTCTGCAGGTGTCCGAAGGTGTTTTCCGAGAAGGAGACATTGAGGTTCCCAGAGACCGAGAAGGCGCCGGTGCTCACCTCTTGGAAGCGACAATTGCTCACCTCCACCGACTCACCTCCGACTGCAGGGGGAGAGGGAGGGAGGGGGGGTAAACATAGGGAAGAGTTGTGTTTATTTGTTTTTTGTTCTAGTTTCGTGTATTGGATTGATTCGGTTTGTTTGGTTGATCAATGATTGTTTTGATTAGTTCACTTGTTTGTTTAGTTTCATTACTTTATGTTATGTTATTATTAAGGGTGTTACTGTTCTTGTTATTATTGATATCAATATTGTTATTATTATTATCATTATCATTGGTTTATTATTATCGTTATTACAATTATCTTCATTTTTGTTTAATTGCCATCGTTATTATCATACTATAATTTTTCTCATTATCATTATTATTATTATAACAATTATTACTATTATTCTCATTATCATTAGCATCATTATCATCATCATTATTGTCATTATTAGCATCATCAGTATTATCTTTATTGCTATTAACTTCATCATTCTTATCTTAATTTATGTATTTGTGTTCGAACCTAAATTATGTTATCTATATAAGGTGTTATTTCAGTCAATTCTACTGTCAAAATTCTAATATAATCAATATTAATCCCTCTTCCCCTTATTCTCTCTCTCTCTCTCATTCTCTCTCTCTCTCATTCTCTCTCTCTCTCTCTCTCTCTCTCTCTCTCTCTCTCTCTCTCTCTCTCTCTCTCTCTCTCTCTCTCTCTCTCTCTCTCTCTCTCTCTCTCAATTCCTTGCATGTTATAAAGGGAGGATTTGTTTGCAACATTCAAATTTAATTGTATTATAATTTTTATTGTTACTCTTACTTAAACATAAAAGATAAAGAACAGCAAAAGCATCTTCCACTATTTATGACCTATTTTATTCATATTATTGCTATCACCACAAAAAAGCTATATTAAAAAAGATTCCAGCGACCAAAGAATTAACCAGGACCTCATGCAGTCGGAAGCCTGCATTCATACATACATACATACATACATACATAAAACCATCTTTATTGATCGTTATTAAAACACCAATAATAAAATAAATAATAAATAAATAAATAAAAACAGCAACACCAACTCACACTATGCGTGATATTGAAAGCCCCGGCGCCCAACGAATTCACCAGGACCTTGTGCATGCGGAACCCAACCCAGCTGTGGAGGGAGCGCTGACTTAGGGTGACCACGCCGCTGGCAGAGACCGGTCCCTCCACCACGCTGACGGCTGAGTCCTCGATCACCAGTATCGCATCTGTTGGAAAAGCGAGGGAGGGTGGAGGAAGGAGGGTGGAAGAGGAGGGGGAGGGTGGAGGGAGGAGGGTGGGGGGAGTGGTTGGTGGAAGAGGGTGGAGGAGGAGGGATGGAGGAGGAGGGGTGGAGGGGGGGGGAGGTAGAAGAGGGAGGGGGAGGATAAGGGGGAGGGAGGGAGGGGAAGGGGGTGGGGGAGCGGTGGGTGGTGGAATGGAGGAGGGAAGGGGTGGAGGGATATGGAGAGGGGAGGAAGGGGAGGGAGAAGGGGAGTGATGGGTGGTGGATGGATGGGGGGAACGGGTGGAGGATATGGATAGGGAGGAAGGGGTGGGTTAGTGTGATTTAGTGTGTTTTTTAAATAATTTTTTTTCTTTCTTGTTGTTCGTTGGTGTTTTATTGATATTTACTGAGGTTCTATACTTTTATTGTCATTGTTTGTTATTAATTTTCATTGGTTTTCAATGATGATGCTGATAATAATTTACGAACATTCTCATTCCTATTAGCATTCTATCATGATATGTATCTACATTCATTTTAGTTACCATTATTACAATTATCATCAGTGATGTTACTACCTCTATTTTTATCAGCCTCATTATCATCATTATCATTATCACTACTGTCATCATCATAGTATCACTATCTATCATTATCCTCACTATTAACATTCAAATCAATAATTACAAATAAATATAATTGAAAACAAACACACACCAAATAATGATTTGAATAAAAAAAAAACTAAAACAAAAACAGAATATAACAGTAAAGATGTTAATAATAACAACAACAATGACAACAACAAAACAATAAAGATAATAATGATAATCATAATGATAACAATAACAACAATAACAATTTAATAACGGTAATAATTAAGCAAATAAGTAATAAGTATATAGATAAATAAATGAATAAATAAATAAATAAACAAGTAAGTCAATAAATAAAAAAAAACACGTATAAAAAAAATAAATAAATAAATAAATAAACAAATAAACTTGTAAGTCAATAAATACAAACAACAAACACACATAAACCTCACCTGTTTGATATTAAAGAAAGCCCCTTCGCGGAAAACGTCGACTCGGCTGTTCCTGATGAGGAGCCCGCCCCGGTCTCGGTCGCGCATGAATTTGGCGGGAATTTCGGGGACGTAACAGTCGACGATTCCGATTCCTTGGTTTTGTTATTTTTATTGTTAGTATTGTTATCATGATCATCATAATTATTATCATTATTGTTATTACTTTATTATTATTATTATTATTATCACTTTTATCATTATTATTATTACTTTTATTATTATTATTATTACTTTTATCATTATTATTACTTTTATCATTATTATTACTTTTATCATTATTTATTATTACTTTTATCATTATTATTATTAATTTTATCATTATTATTATTAATTTTATCATTATTATTATTAATTTTATCATTATTATTATTACTTTTATCATTATTATTATCATTATAATTATCATTACATTATTCCCATTATCATTATTGTATTATCATTATTATCGTTATTATCATTATTGCTATTATTATTGTTGATATAATTGTTATTATTATTGTCATTATTATCATTATCATTATTTCTATTACCTTTGTTATCAGTATTATCATTATTAGTAGTATTGTACTTATCATTATCATTTTCATTATCATCATCATCATTAATATTACTTTTTATTATCACCATCTTCATTATGATTCTGATGACTAGTAATATTATTAAATGATAATATTAATAACGATAACAATAATATGAATGATTAAAAAAGCAATAAAAAGCAAAAAGCAAAACAAAAAAACAAAATAAATAGCCAGAATCTCAACCCCTCAAAAAACCCGCACATCCGAACACCTCCAAAACAAAAACGCATCGCCTCACCGACAGACGTCCTGTACGGGGAGTAAGCGTGCAGGTTGCCGTACTCGTAGAGGACGTCGAAGTTGAGGGTGCCGGCTCTCCACAGGTCCAGGGCGGTGGCTGGCACACTCTGCCACTCCTCCAGGAAGCTCCTTGTTACATGGACACTCTTAGCGTCAGCCACCCTCACGTAGGCGCTGACGACGCGGGAGGCGTGGAAGGGGTAGAGGGCTCTCGTCAGGAGCACGTCCTGCCGGGGAGGGAGAGGGGGGGCGGTGAAGGGGCAGGAGGGAGGCAATGACAGCGTTGGTGAAAGTAAGAGAAAGAGAAGGGATAATGATGGTAATGGCAGTAGTCGGGATGATAGCTGCGGTAAAAGTGATTTTAATGATAATGACGATGATAATAACACTGATAATATTGGTAATGATATTAATGATGATGATCATCATCATCATAGTTATAGTGGTCATAATATTGATGATGATAATGATCATCATCATCATAAGAATTATAGTGGTCATAATATTGATGATGATAATGATCATCATCATCATAAGGGTTATAGTGATCATAATATTTATAATGATCATGATGATGTTGATGATCATCATCATTATCATTATCACGACATCATCATCATAGTTATAGTGTTCATAATATTAATATTGATGATGATATCATCATCACATCATCATCATCATCATACTAGTTATAGTGGTCATGATATTGATAATTATAATAGAAATAATAACAGTAAAATTAATATCAACAACAGTGATAATTATTCTGATAATGATGATGCTAATAACAAAATGATAATGATGATGATAGTAACAGCAATTATAATAGTGATAACAACAACAACAATAATAAAAATAAAAACAATAATAATGATAATGACAATAACAGCAACATTAACAATAGTAAAAGCAATCATCATCATCATTATCATCATAATAACAATAATAATAATGGTGTGAATGAAAACAGTAATAATATTAATAATAATGACAATTATAATAATATAATAATAATAATAATAATAATAATAATAATAACAGTAATAATAATATATAATAATATAATAATAATGATAATAATAATAATAATACAATAACAATAATAATGATAATAATAATAATGAAATTAATAAATGATATAATGATGATGACAGCAGTGATGATAATGATGATGATAATGATATCATAAATGAGAATAATAATATTAATAATTAATAGATATAGTAGTAGTAATAATAATAATAACAATAATAATAAAATAATAATCACAACAATAATAATAACAACAGTAATAGCAATAATAACAATCCTAATAATAACAATAATAATAACAACAACAATTTCAACGATAACGATAATTACAATGATAATGATAATGATAACAATAAAAGTTATAATAATTATACTATACTGCTTCTACTAATAGATAAATATATCAATAATAATGATAATAATATAATAATCATAATGATAATAACATAATACTACTACTACTACTACTACTACTAATGGTAATGACGGTAATAATAATTGGTAATAGTAATGATAATAATAATAATAATATTCAAAAAATTATAATATAATTAATAATAATAAT